CCCGGCTGACATTGGGCGAAAGGCGGGGTACGCCCTGGACAGGTCGCCAGTCCATCGCAGGACTAATGCAAAAACAATATTGATATTAGTTATGGTCTTGACTATAAAAATCTCTTGAAATAAAATCCTGAGTCCTCAGTGTCCGAGACTGAGACAAGACCGAGACCATCAAACAGTGGATTTCAGACTGGTCTCAAGACCAAGTCCAATTATTGATAGCTTAAAGACAAGTGTTTAAGTTGAACATTAAGTTGAAATCAAGTTGCTCCAACCAGTAATATTTATGTATTATGTACTTAATTACTATAATCATGAACGCAGGATTTAAGCTAAAAAACATTGTAAAACTGTAAAAAAGTTGCTGATTTTCTTCTGTAGTTTTTTTTATAGCTTTTTCGGCAGTCAACTTTATTTCTGCAGTTGGGTATTTGAACATATTATATTTAAATCTTTAAAAAAATCTGTAAAATATTAACTCCACTCATTAAAGATTTTGTAAAACCTTTGTAAAAGAAATTTTAAACTACAGTATAGTAGCATTCCATGTGTTCATTATAATTATTTAATTATTTCAATGCCCACCAACCTTCTGCAGCTTTTTTACACAGTTTCATACAAAAAGGGATATGTATTTCTTTAAACATCAACTTTATTTTGTCAGCTGTCAAGACAAGATTTGTTGATCACACAGCATATCTAAAGCGACTTGACAGAGAAGCAATCTCAATTTTGTATCCTCTTTAGTTAACATTTAAATGCAAAACAATGTAATCTGAATAATATCGGAAATTGCTCTGACACAAATGGAATCTTTAGACAATACTTTTCATGAGACTAATTACTTTTGCCCTGGCTTTCAGTCCAACAAGGTCAAGAAACAGCTTCTAAATAAAAATCAAAATACAAATCACTTAATTGTTCAAAACCGGCTGTGTGACCGACTCTCAGTAACACAACTAACACACGCACACACAGGCTTCAACATAATGACCAGCACAGAGGTAAGCTACATGGGGTATGGTAGCTTCCTCTACACAGCAGCAGACCAGCAAATTTAAACCGGAGGAGCTTGAAGGCGGTCTTGCAGGCAGCTCAGGGATTGGAGTAGCTTTGTTGCGGCGCTCCAATAAGGGACCTCTGATGTGGGAGGCGGGACCAGCCAGAACTTCCTCGGAACCAGCCAATCCCCAGCCGGGAATCTCACAGCCTCATTACATGCAGAGAAAAACAGCAGCAACAGTAAAATCCATAGACAGTCCTTTATATCAAGCTTCTTCAGTCTTCAAGTCCACTAACACACAGTCTTACTGTCTGAATTTCGAAGCATGTTAAGTGTGTAGATGTGGGTGAGTGAACTTGAAATCCTGAAGTCAAGGTGGAGAAAATTAAGTTATCAAGTCAATTTTAGTTACTGGAGACAAAGTTACTGGAACTTGAATTTTGTTGTAAACCCATTAACAATGAAATTTGTGTTAAAATTACCAGCACAATTAAGTTGATGTAATTACCAACATTATTATTTAAACTCATAAAAATAAAGTTTGCAACTAAATAAGTATTTTTACCTTGCAGCCATGCAATTTATGAAGTGGTGGTAACAGGTCCCCTGAATTACTTAGAGAGATGCCATTGCATCAGCTGGCTGAAGTTGATTCACGCTGAGTCGGCTTTATCAGTTTTACATTTGTTTTTCAGTGCTGCTCCACTCAGGTGCGCTGCATAAGCTACTTATACCAATATAATGAGGTCTTGTGCAGAATGTATTGGAGTAAAAATTCGATAATTCACTCTAAAAAATAAAACATTGGGTCAACAAAAAAAAACATGTTAATGTTTTCCACTAGAATTTTTAAGTTAAGACTGCTGGCAGAATTACACTAATTCAAAGCAATGTTTTGAGTATGGTGAATTACCTTTTAGGCCACAATTAAACGCATTTCTAAGTGACATGAACTTAATAATTGTCAACATGAATGCAAGTATTTAAGTTGATCCAACATAATGTTTTAAGTTAGGTGAAGAAGCTTTTTGGCCACAATAAAACAAATTTCCAAGTAACATGAACGTAAAAATTAAGTTGATCTCTGCAAGAGTTAAGTTGTGTGTTAGCGAGTTATCTTTAGTATTTCTTCTCATCTGAATCATAGTCTAATCATGTTTAGCTAACGTTAGCTAACGTAGCTACTTTATAAAGTTTATAAACGTAGCTAGCCTACATGCTAACCAGAGCGGTGGCTAATGGGTAATCCCATATTAAGTTAGCTTGCCAAGACGTTTTCCCTGGCTGCCTGGCCACCTATTACTCCCGCATTTAAGCCTACTCAATCAGTGACAGGCTACAGCTACTAGCTAACTTTACCTCGGCACACAGACTGTACTATCAACACTGCTCAAATTTCAGAGTAAGGACTTCCAGATTTCAGTATTCGGTTACAGTAGGCTATCACCAACAGAATCCTGAGCGAATGCAAATATGTGTAATTAAGCATAAAATGACTTACCATTCAACACATTACACTTCAATGGGTTTCAGCTGTGGCCCTGTGGTCACTCGTCTGCCTTGAACATGCCCACACATGCAAGAGAGGGAAACTGTGGGCCGTTTAACGTCAACAAATTGTATTTTAAATTAAATTATTTTTTGATTAACTGAAAATGTTAAAGTTTGACAAGTCATGATAGTATAGTGAATCAATAGGCATAATTTGTGTGTCGTCCAAGCTCAATAAAATAAGAAATACAAGTAAAAAGTCGAACAGTATCTCAGAACCTGATTTTTTATTTCACAACAATATATATATTTAGGTAATGACTAGAGTGTTGGCTTAGAAATTTAGCGAAGTGAAAGTAAAAAGGTGCAACAACGAAAAATACTCAAGTAAAGTACAGATACCGAAAAAAACTACTTAAGTATAGTAACGAAGTATTTGTACTTCGTTACTTTCCACCACTGCAAAAGACTTGTCAAAATGTATCTCCACAAAAACTAATCCTCAGTTTCACTGCTCATTCTTAAGCACCAGTGTTAGTGAACAATTGGATAAAATATGACATTTTATAGTGGTAATGAAATGATAGGGCTATCAGCTAGCTAACATCAGATGGCTCATATAAGTTAAAGAAATACTAATTATGAAACTCTGAATGCAGCCAAGTGTCTCTATTATCTTCTTATGTACTGGACTTACATGAGCAGCTGCAAGTGATGCAGGCAGACAAAACGCTCAACTAACATCAAGGTTAGGAAGTGATATGGTCCATTTTAGGAGTCAACCCCGTAATGTGAATCATGATCTGTAGTGCAGAGCAGGTTTGTGTGTCTAGAGTGCAGAGCAGGTGGAGAAAATTAAGTTATCAAGTCAATTTTAGTTACTGGAGACAAAGTTACTGGAACTTGAATTTTGTTGTAAACCCATTAACAATGAAATTTGTGTTAAAATTACCAGCCAAATTAAGTTGATGTAATTACCAACATTATTATTTAAACTCTGGAGTGCAGGACCAGAGTGCGGCAGCTGGGAGACATGCAGGTGAGCTGGTGGAGCCGGACAGGAGAAACAGAAGAGAACAGCAGACTGCTGCAGCTCAGGAACAGCAGATTGCTGCAGCTCAGGGGCAGGAAATGACTGCAGCACAGGCACTAAAGACTGCTGCAGCTCTGTGGGAACAGGTGTCAGTTGGGCCTCTGATGGAGAACCATACCTGATAGAAAGATACCTCAAAGCCTGTTGCACACAGTTTTGAGAAAACAAGTAGTTCAATCTGGAAACCATAGCATAATGGTGCACATGGTTTTCAAATTGAACATGCCCCAGGTGTGTACATGGGTGGGGAAAGGAGGGAACATCTGAGGGCATCTGGTGGACAGTGTGAGCATGGTAGTTCTGAGAAGTTGGAACTAGAGACACAGACAGAGAGGCAAACTGTGACAGTAAGCCCCTAAATATATTCAAATTTAAACATTCCTCATGTTACATGGGGCCCCCTGAGGGTCACAGCACCTCAGTTTGAGAACCACGGCTTTGGTTTCTCTGTCACCTCTTTGTACACAAGCCCAGGAAAACCTTTTTGTTGGCTATACACCACTTAGGCCATTTCCCAGTGAAAAGAAGACCAAATTTAATTTCATCACTGGATGGTGTGGATTCAAATCTGTGCATTGTCATCCGTTTGTATTATTTTTTTCTCCCTCTAGATAACGCTGGCAATATATTCACTGCCTCCCAGAATAATCCTTAACAAGCAGAGATAGTCCAAGAGAAAAGTTCCTTTGAGATAGGCTACTCAGGAAAATTGAAAAAGTTATTATTAATCCTACTGCCCGGCATGACCAAAAAAAAAACAAATACTCGTGCACACACCCACACACATGCCACACACACCTTACAGACAAACTGAAAGAGTAAAATAAGGATTTATTTCCCCCTGTGAAACATGTGAACATTCTCTCCGGCAAAATGAGCCACGTCACTCAGAGATATTTAATTTTAGTGCAGGAAGAAATGAGAATATTTGACATTTAAACAGCAGTCTTTCTCTATGATAAGGAGAATACTGGGGTAAATGTCTTACCATGCCCTTATATTAAAGTATGTCTATCTATCCTTCCCCCGTTTTCTTAGAAATTCAAACTTTAAGTCCTCAAGCTAAACTGATAGCCTATCCTTTAGTCCAGGAATATCTCGTTGATAAGCAGCTGCAAAATATTCAGAAATGTTTTTGTTTATTTGGTGAACCAAAAAAGGTGAATTTTAAAGTAGAAAAAACAAAATGTTCAGATATCTGTCAAGATATCCTACATTGGGCTTATTATTATTATTATTATTATTATTATTATTATTATTAGGGTGATATGTTAGTAATACAAACTGATCCTCAGGCAGGTGACAAAAACATGTATTTAAAACATAGTGAGTTTACAGTGACTTAATTGTATGGCATTTTCATTTCTACATTGTAATTATAGTTTTGTTATATGCACAAGTGATCGATATTGAGTTTATTATGGCATTGTAATGGCATTTTAAGATTAATAGTGTTATTATAAGCATGCATATGCTAATTGTTTGAATGTCACGTGTTCTGTTTTTAGGTTTATGGAATCAATTAAACAAGATGGTCAACGCTTTCCAAACGATAGTTTACATGGATCCCTCCTCAGCGTGGCAGGCTGGAGTGGAGTGGAGTAGGTTGGGATGCTCCATAGATAGGAGATGGGCGGAGATGATAGGGGAGGGCCTGAATCCATCTCTCTCCTCCCTGTGACGTCGCTCGGTCTCGTCCCGGGGTGCGCTGCTCTCCGGTCCCGTCTCAGCAGAAACCACTTTAGTTGCTGCTTCAACCGTCCACATAACCTGCGGTCGACGCGCGCGGTGCTGTGCGGCAAGGTGCTTTGCGGGCACCCGGTGTCCTTCTACTCCACGCTGCCTGTCTTGTCCCACATATCAGTGAAGTGTTTCCACATTCTGCTGAAAGAGAGAGGAGAGAACCTCAGGCGTTGAGTAAAAGGGAGAAGGCGGAAAGGAGAAGGAAATAAAGAGAGAAAGAGAGAGAGGAAAAAGAGAGTAAGAAAGATAGAAAGAAAGACAGACAGACAGAAATAAAGAAGAGAAAAGAGAAGAGGAAAGAGGTCGCCGTAGTCCCTCTCCTTCCCGGGGCTGAATCTCCACCGAGAAGATGCTGAGAATAGCCGGCGTGTTGGCTGTAGTGGCTCTGGGGTTGAGCGCTGCTCACACCAAAGGTACGGTAGGTGAAGGGCAACTTGCTTGCTCTGTGGAGTGGGCATCTGCGAGTGCGCTACGGCTTTATTATAGGTGGACATGGCCGGAGAGGCTGTGTGTGGATGCAGAGAAATGTCCATCTTAAACAGACTGCTTACAGATTGCTAAAGCGCTGATAACAGTCTGTCTATGTGATTGATGTTTTTTCCTCCAGAAGATGACTGTTATTTTCCTGCAGTATTCCTCTTAGGACTTGTGGAGACCGGGCACTTAATAATTAGGCTACAGCCCCTAATAGCACTTGAGGTTATTTGTTTTATCTTCTATGGTATCCATGCTGCAGTTCTATTGAGATTGAGGGAGTTTCTGTTGTACTCAATACTGAGCTTTCCATGACCTTATTATAGCCTATTTTGGAGGTTAATCTCATCAGGCATTACTATAATATTGATTGAGAGGACTTGCAGTTTTGTTGTCATAGCATCCTCTTCTCATTTGTTGCAACTATATAATGGGCTGGATGCAGAAGAACATGGTCTTTCCTGTTAAGGTTTGTTTGTAGCTGATAGGTGAAGGAAGGTAAGAGGAAAGCGGAGTACATAGCCTACTATGTAAAGTTATGTGTCAAAACCTGCAAAGAAGTAGCGTTTAGGGTCTTCCAATACCTTTGAGCATATTTTAAATTAAAACAGTGGTGTTATTAGTGCACATGTGGCCCATAAATAGCATACTGTGGCTTTAAAGACAACACCCGTGTTAAACAGAATTCACACAACTCACTTCTGGACAGCGAAGTCCAGATTTGAAAGCATGAGTATCAATCCCAATGCTAAAAGAAATACTAAAGGTGATTATATCCTTAAGAAACAAATCTGCAATTACTGCAATGACTGTGAATGCAGACTTCCTCCAGAGGCAAAATGACAGCATCGAGATTTACCTACAGGAATTTGGGGATATTTGTTGTGAGAGTTTGCACTTGTAATTAGTACATTTTGCAAATTTACCTTTAAAATTCTGATCAAGCCATCTGAAATCACTTGCTTTACATGCATATGTAAATTACCATCGGTGGGATTTATCAACAGGCTAATTTTATTTTATTAATTCAAATTAGCTCATTAAAATTCCAAATAACACGACAAATAATCCCCCAAGCCACAGATATTTGATAATGACATCCAGATGTCATAAATGTCTGCCATACTGCTGGCAGTTTTGCTTCACAGCTGAGCTAAATTTAAGTCTATCAGTATCCCCATTGCAGTGGGACCGCTCAATTCTCCAGTGAGCTTGGCATGTGCCGTAGGTAAGCGGGTAAATGCGGCAACAGGTTCGTGCTAATCAACTCCCTGTAGACCGATGCTGGCTTTTATGCAGTGAAATAACAAGGTGACACCTGTCAGTTTCGTTTGGCAGCCAAGAGACACCACAAGTGTGATAAGTTGTTTATCCTCCTTGCCTCCTGAGTCCTGACACACGAAGGGCCTCCCTGCTGGTCGGCTGGCTGGCTGCAGCTGCAATCTTTGTTATGTGTGGAGGGAAAACATATGCTAATAGACCTGCTTCAGACTGTGGCCTGGCCCAGAGGTCAATCTTTTGCCTCATATGCACTTTCATTTTAATAGGATTTACTTGCAAGCAACAATGGGGTGACTATGCTGTGCTCACACAGGCAGGACAGTTTGTTACCCGTTTGGGGATATCATGTATTAACTTGATAAGTTCATATATGTAATAGAACAGGAAATAACAGGATCGTTGCATTGTAAAGAAGAACTTATTATTTTTTTGTATCCAGAGCATGACTGTGAAGTAAACAAAATTACTGGCAAGTCAATTGGGGTTGACAAACTAAGCACACCATAGTTCTAATTGATTCCCCAGGGTCTCTGTACAGTGCAGTTAAATCCTGGAGAAAATAAGAGTCTATCGTCTCCAGGATCTGTTGCTACACTAACCATCGCTGCCTTTCCCGTTTCCTGTCACAGTTGGCAGGAAGCAGAACCCATAAGAAGCAACCAGCCTAAATTATTGTCCGTTTTTTCCCCCTGAATCAGTCTCTCTGTTTCCGTTTTGAAATGACAACTGAAATAGTGTATTTGTGTCAAGTGTGGCAAAGGATCCGCCTCCGTAGCACCCATTTGCGAACCTGTTTTCCAGATAACTTTGAAGCACCGCCACTGCTGTCATTTTCTGTTTAGCCTCTGTTTCATTTCAGGAAAGCGTGGACGTGCAACTCCCTTTAATCACCGGTACCCTCGAATCATCCATTCAGACTTAGAGTACCGTGTGTCTCTAAATGTGTGTGCATCTACTTAGTATGTGTTTCAGAGTTGTCAGTAATCAGAGCTTGACGAGCTAACATCCCTTTGGCGTGTGTGCGTGCGTGCGTGCATGCATGCGTGCGTGGGATTGCCTGTATATGCACGGGGAGAGTGATAGAGTGCAGCCAACATGTTGACAGCCGCCAAGTATGCAAAAATGGGCGAGGAGGTGATGTCGTTTACAAAGGAATTATTGCATTCGCAGATACATGCTGTGGCTCAAACGATTTCACTGGGACCGACCGTGTCGCCGCTCGACAAGGAGAATCTTCTGGCAGCGAAGCAGAAAGAGCTATAGAGTTTTTGCCATTGCTGCCCGGAGCCCTGCTTTTGTGTAATTCCAAGCAATATGAACTCTGAATTTAGATAGCTCATTACCAGCACACTATATTTTAATTCAGCTACCCACTGTGTGACTCTTTGTTGGTGGAACCTCTTTGCTGCTTTATTATATCCAGATAAACACACTGTACATTTTTCAGTAAACATGCAAACAGTTAGAATGTAATATGCAGCCTTTGGAAGAGGCCTCTTGGTAACAAGCTTCAGGCTGTGGCTATAGTCTGATGTCTGCGTGTGAAGTTGCAGGATTAATTGAAAGGATAGTTGGTCTTATAATTTAAGGTTTTCTATATAGGGCTTCTGTATGTGTGCCTGGGTGTGTAAGTCGGGGCTTTTGTGTGTGCGTACAAGGGATAAAGAAAGCCAAGAGGATAGTCATTTGAGGATCCCATTAGCAAATAAAAAAGGGGGGTGACAAAAAAACACTACCAGATTTATGTCCCCCCCTTTGGAGAGAGGAAGTGCATTATGGGAGCACTCTATAAATCCTCCAACGAAGCTGTGACACAGGATGAAATCCTACCCGGCCTCGCCACGGCCAGGGGAAGCAGGGCTCAGCGACATGGAGGAACATCACAGATTTTTTTTTTCCAACACTTGCTTTGTCGTCCGTTTTCAAAGCTTAGCTGATCTCAGTACAGCCCTGCACCATTTGAGAGGTAGGAGGGCTTAGTGGCAACGGCAATGGAGGGGCGCCAGTCCACTGATCCAAGCGCAGTTCTACAGCCATCAGAGACAAAAGATAGAGCGAGTGAGTCAGGGGGGATAAGTTTAAGCAATCGTCTTCAAACAAGGAGGAGACGGAGGGTTCCTGTGATCCTGCGATTACTGATACTAGATCAAAATGAAGCTCTGCAGCAAGCCTCTGCATCACACAGCTCCTTACAGCATATTGAACCTGAACTGAGCTTTTTAGTGAACAAATCCTGTTTTCAGTGTTAATAAGAAATCAAGCTTTTCCTTTCTGCCTTATTGTTAAGTACAGGAAGAGTGTTAAGTAGTGTTGAGTGTGTGTTTGGTGTCTCCTTGTAAACATACACAGAAAGTCACAAATCCAAGTAAGTTTTGTCCCTAAAAGCTTCTATAAGATCTTAGTGTGCTTATCTAACTTATTCCACAGATCCCTATACACACACATCTTCCTCCATCTTTACTCTATATACAGCACTGTTTTTTCTACCTCTGGTATTTGTGTCTCTTCCACCTCTATTGTCTTTTTAGATGTGTGTGTGTGTGTGTGTGTGTGTGTGTGGGAGGCGGCGGCGACGGCGGGGGGGGGGGGGGGGGGTCACTGTGTGTGTGTGAGCATGTAGTTCAGCAGATACTGACTGAACACCGTGAGCACCTTGCAGTGAGTGGGTGTCTCATCATTCTCTTCCTTTATTTATTTATTTATTTTTGGTGTCTTGGAGTGGTCACAGCTGACCGTACTTGGCAGCAGATATTCAGACAGCCAAGGCCCATTGATTTGCCCTACAAAGTGTGTGAGTGTGAGAGAGAAATGGAGAGAGAGAGAGTTTGATCAGCGGCAAGGCCAGAGTGGGTTTTGCAGAATAAATGTCTTTTTGAGGTGTGTTTGGAGAGAGAGGAAACGGCTGAAAAGGGAAGGGAAATAACTTACAAAACAAGGAAGAAAATGAAAAAAAAAAAGATAGGGAGTAAAAGAGAAAAAAAATGATGATGTTAATTCTTGACCTTGGAAACAACAGATAAAAAGACTCTCTCGCCAAAATTCATTTAGTCCTTTTAGTGACTGCATTTAATCATATTACATGCTGTTTAATAACAGATGACACAGATTTTCTGAGAACTTCAAATCTCTGTTAGCTTAAAATCTAAGTAGATGTTTTAGCCTACTAATTTAGCGAGTGTATTTTTGCTGAACTATGCATGTCCACTGTTGTCACAAGTGGCAATGACTTGTAAATACTAAACTTAGTATAACAAGAGCATCTATCTAAAGTTAGTTAACAGTGGCCACCATACATTGTTGATACCAGACTAAGTAAGGCTATTCCAGAAACCTCACAAATTTATTTAATTGATCAATGGTGCATGTTAGAGGACACAAGTTAAACTTTTTAATTCATGTTTTAGGACACTGGTATAGTGAGCCTACTTTTGCTGAACAGTGGCTTATGAGTTATAATTTTCATTTGAAGAGAATGAACGTGCTACACTACATGGTCAAAAGTATGTGGACACCCAAACACTACTCCCTATATGTGATTGTTGAGCCTCTCTTTCTAAAACCATGGCCATTAATCTGCTGCTTTACCAGCCTCCACTGTTCTGGTTTCAGGCTTTCCATCAGATTTTGGAACCTGGCTGCAAGGGTTTTCTCCCAACAC